GAGTAAATTATTACTTGTAATTGCAAGTAATAATATACACATTCATAAAGGATATCATTTTGATGGCATTATATTTCAATGTATAATTTTATGCATACATTTTTTTATTATATTACGTCGTAATTTTATTAAGAGCTAATATACAGTGTCACAAAAAAGGTTTAGGCAATGCTTTGAATTTTAAACTTTTAGCAGAGCTTTAGCAAAAGTGATTAAAATTATAGAAAAGAAAAAGTATATAAAAGATGGTAAGAGAAATGTTCACTTGAAATTTAATAAAGTTTGACTTTTCAGAGTCTCTGAAGCTTACAATGTACTCTTATTTTAGCATTTGCATTTTATCTATTATATAATTGTTTATATTCAAGCATTAGTAATCTACTTTATTTACTTAATTATTATAAGGTAATGGGTTTTTTAAATCATGAGTAATAATTAATATAAGTTAGTTAACCTAGACTGATATAAGAATCAGAATATATGTCAATGTTGTGTTCAGTTGCTTACAAATAGCTAAAAGACAAACTACTACAATTAAAAGAATAACAATGTTATATCACACAAATGTTTGTATTATGTATAATGCTTTATTATTTTGTGCTTGTCAATTTGATTATTATGGTACTTGTGTTTTTTGTATTACTTCATTATTCTATGTTTTTATTAATAATGCTTTTAAATACTTTTAAATGCTGTTAAGAGAAACACAGTTTTTAACAATTGGTGCATGCATAGAATGTACAAAATGTTCATTCTTTTGTTATTATTTTAAAAAATAGTAATTTTTGTTTTTTAAGAGTGATTTAATATTACTTACAAAGAATTTATGCATATGCATACACATAGGTCTATATGTATGCATATGCATATATACAAATATAATTAATTATAAGTATATTACGTCATTAGCCTTTAGTGAGAAGCATGGCAGTGCCTTTATTCAACAAATTTCCATGCGAACACATATTATAATATAAATTTTGACATTAATTTTAATATTTTTAAGCTGACAACATATGACAAGTGACTTAATGCCTAATAATTGATGTTGAATAATAATTCAACATACTTATGTATGGAAACCATAATTTTGTATTTTTTTTAAGTTATGTATCACTATGTTGTAATGTTTGCTTCATTTTATGTGAAAGGTATATAGATATAAAGATATAGGTATAAAGATATAAATTAATGCCTGCAGAATTTGCTTTGGCTTTATTTTCACATTCACAATTCAAAAATGATGAAAAAGATCCTACATCTGATCAAAATGGTTTAATTACGTACTTTTTGTTATTTCATGCATTTACTAACATGCTAAAAGTTTTGACTGATGTTTCACTATTTCAATTCTGATATTATTTAATCTAGTCATATGTTATCGATAGTAACATTTAAAGAAATGATGTAATGAAACTACATAGTATAATGTAAAATACATTGTAAATAAATATACGAGCTTAATTCATAAAAATAAACTTTTCTGCCCCTAATTATTAAAGAGAAAAAAAGGATTTAAAAATTCTCTGTATTCTATTAATATTTGCATGCAATGATACAAAATCGGTTATAAATAAAAAGCATTCATAGCTTTTTTTTAACGTGTTTATACGGAATACACTATAAAGATAGTTGATATCGTGATTCAATAGCCGGAGGGACCATAAAAATTTGGTCAATCGTCAATAACATCGAAATCAAGCTCGCGCGTAATATCGGTTCGATAGTAGTGGATTCAAGCGATTACTCGAGATTTCTCCTAGCGAGAGTATCGAATGAACGTAGCGTACACGCGCCGTAGCTGAAAAACGTAAGCTGGTATACTACGCCTGTGCTAGTACGTGCTCCGTACACGAAAGTTATTCACACACGCTATTCATCGGCTTGTGCTCCTCCATTACGTACATAACGTGAAACGTAAGACGCTACATACTCGTCTGTACGTGTGTCGTGCAGGTGTATATAAGCAGAGTTGCGCACGTCGTACACGTACACCAAAACATCATTTCTATCGGGACGTGATTTCGTGCTAAACAACGCGTTCGGTGTGATTTGCGTGGTTTTCAACTAAGATTAGCGATTAATCTATGATCGTGAGAGAACAGACAATACGCGGGGATCGAGGACAACCGATAAATAACATTTTCGAGGATACATCAAAGCGATCGAGGAAAGGGCGAATTTGAGTGCCACTGCACAAGCGCGAAGAAGAGAGAGAGAATCAAAGAACGAGAGAGTGAGAAAGCGATAGGACGCTAGGTACGGTGCTACGGTGGTAGTGAATGGAACGCGGCCCCCCACGGGTGAGCGTAGTACGACGCTCCACGGGCTAGCGTTGCACCAATGACCAGCCGGGACGGGCGATCACGTGACGTGCGTGCCGAGGCAGCAGCAGAACATTGCAAATGACAAGACGCGTAGGGCATTGTCGTCGCGCCGCCGCTACCACCGTTCCCGTCGTAGTTGTTGGTGAATTCGTCGCGCCACCGCCGTCGTTGCTGCCACTATCGTTGATGAGATCTCGCCCGCCACCGAGAAAGCGAGCATTATAAACGATTCTGAAATCTGTCCTCGCTGTCGGCACCACCGCTGCTGTCGCCGCGTGTGCGCGACAAAGTCGCGGGTGCTCGGAGGCCTCGTGCCCTGAACGGTGCCCGCGGCGCCCCGTCCTTACTACACATACTCGATACAGTATACCAAACGCAGCAGCATCGAGGGCCCTTGTGGCACCTGCCTATATGACAAAATGTCTGGATCACAGCGAATGCGAAAGTCCTCGCCATGCTCGACATCGAAGCAAGGCCCAATGCGCGCGACTCTACCCGTAAGCTCGCTATTACGACAAGGCCGGCAAGGCAGTAGTCTCAGGAAGAGCAATAGCAACAGTCCCACCGTATCGCCGACGAACGCGAGTGCGTGGCGGGCCCGCATCTCGCCGGAGACCTCTTCCTCGGGACAACGAAGCCCCGGTTCCCTCTCTTACAAAGGTATTTACGCTTACTCCTTTACTCCTCCACGTACTTACTATACACTGTTATCTTTCGGTACACTTCTTTGTTGTGTCTGTCATTTTATGTTTTCCGTATCCTCCAACCGAATCCTCGTTTAAAAACAACATTATTCCCGTCTTTTCTTCTCTTCAGTGTCAGAATATCGTCAAATGTTTATTGGGTCAGTATACAGTTTGTATAAATTTTTCATCGATCGTATATTTGCAATGTATCGTTGTTATATTTTGTTATTTGCAACCGTTTTGAATGTTATTTTTACAAGATTTAGTATAATTCATTTGTGTAAGGTATATGTCATATGTACAACTGATTGTAAATATTATAACTGTGACAAGGAAATCAAATAACAGAGGTGTTATGTGTACTTTAATCTCTCTCAATCATACATGTTCTCTTAAATCTACATTATTTTTAAACGTTTCATGTATTGCAAATTCACAATTATTATATTGATATTGAGTAAAACATTTTAAATATTATATTGATTTATAGTTTTAATATAAGCACTATAATACATGTAAATATAAATTGTGCATTGTGGTTTTAAATGTGTCCAAGTAATGATACGTGTCAATGAATTGAATAACGATGAATGTTTTGTATATGTATATGTTGTATCAAAGTATGTGCACAATTCAATCACTAGCATATTATAATTAATGAGGAAAATAATTTTCTTTTGATTCCTTTCTTTCATAGTGTTGTAATTATTCAAGTTAATTAATTCGGTAACCGAATATACAGTTTTAGATCGGTTCCACAATAAACACTTAAAAATTCACTACTTCTTCCTTCATCCTTCTCTTGAATTTTTGTTTCATTTTTATTTCTATTTATGTTTGTTTCATCCAGCAACCGAATACATACTTAATAGTCCGGTTCTGGTTCACATTTACACAACAGCAATAGATTCTTTATTTTAATTACATTTGTAAAAAAAATTGTCTATTTGAAATTTTTGTTGTGTGCAGCAAAATCAAAAACATTAAGTGGAAGATGCAGCGAAAGTTTAAGTGGAAACCAGAATATTCGAAGGACAGCATCATTAGATACTATCTATTTGAAAGGACAATGGCCTCGTGATTCATATTACATTCATTCCAGTCTTCTCTTGGTTGATAAATCTACACAGGTAAGTTTATTTTATCTAGATGTATGCTGTTGGATGTCAATGTTATTTACTTTCATAAACATCTTACTATCATTTCATGACAATGTTTAATGTATAAATCAATGAAGTTACTTTCTTATAGACAGAAGAATGGTCCAATGAACCAAGAAAATTACATACTCGTCATCCTGCAGAACAAACTACCACTGATGAAAAATTGGAAAAATATTTCAGGCATCGGTATGTATAAATAATTAAAATAATTCTCCTCTTACTTTTCAAATAGTATTGAAATATTTGCAATAATGTATTGCAATAATCTAATATGCAGTAAATGGTCCTCTTACTTTTATAAAATCTACTACATTTATCTAGTTATTCTAACCAAAAGTATATAATATAGGTTACAGCGTACAAATAAGGAAGGTACCAGCAGTAGAGAACGGACAGCAGCATTTGGACTCATAATGCCAGGTGGACCACCACCAGCTTTTCCTGCAGATCATACAGTTTTACCCAGTATTGCTTCACAAACGTCTATACGTAAGTTTACTTGAGAACTAGTGCTTGTATAACAAATATTTTTGTTTTTAGAATTGATTGACATGTTAGTTTTATTATTGTAACCAGACAATCAATTTGGTTTGAGTACGAAGGCAAGTCCTATGAATATCCCTGTGAAACCAATGAGGCCTCCAATGCGTTCTTCTATTGAAGGACTAAATCAAGAAATTGAAGGACTGGTTCTCAAATCTGCAACTAATCCTAGTGATCCTGATCATCCAGTGGAAGACAAAGTATGTATTAGTTTGTGTTTATAGTAACTTAAAAAATTGAAAATTGATTTTAATTTAAGTATTTAATTATTCTTGTAGTATGCACGGTATCGTGAACAAATTACACCGGAAGGCCATCGTGCACCATTAGCTGATCTACTGAGGGCTACTACTCGCAGCGTGAACACACAAACACCAGCTACTGACCTTCCCTCCAGTTCTTATTCTTCAGGTAATTTTAAGTTCTGCCTCATATTGTTAAATAGTGTTTAGATATATGAAGTAGCTGTCAATGTTTCTAGACAATATATGAATTTCATAAATTTTATGTTTAAAAATTATGGAAACCACCTAATCAGAATATTAACTTTAACACCATCAAATTAATAATTATGTTCAATGTTTGTTATTAGTATTCATAATATAGTAGTTATTTGTAATTTGGGGAATATGAAAAATGTTACACACTTTTTTTTTTTAAATGAAAATATATAAATATATGTGTGTGTGAAGCATTTCTGGTTACTGGTAACACTATAAATAACAGACTAACTATGGTGTGTGCCTGTTGAGACAGGCCCTCCATCTAGGAATTCTGAGTCTCCGCTGATTCCTGGTCTTATGGATGCCTCCCGTCCGCCTAGCGATCTCTTACAAGGTTGGCGCATATTTGCGGAAACGTTCTTTTTATTTTTCATGAAATCCCTTTCGATCAGATTTGTTTGTCCTTTTTTCTTTTTTCTTTTCTTTTTTTTTCTTTTTGAATGACTTTGTGCAGATAGTTAATGGGATTTTATATGTTTATCTATGAATTTTTTTATTGTTCGTAAATATATGTATATATACATTTGCATATACATGTACACACATGTATCTTAAGTCTGAAGTATGTGCATGAATTTTTTTTTTTTTTTTCAATATCAAAATGTACATATTTTATAGGATGTCAAAATATCAGTTACCATCAATATTACATCTGGAGTTATTTTCTGACTTTACACAATCGATTATTAATGTATTGTACTGACCAAAAGATTTGATGTGTTTTCATGGAATAATAATGCCAAATTGATTGTACACAATACATTATGACATTACATGGTAAACGGATCTGTTTTTAATAAGCTAAGATGTATTTACTATACTCATTACTATTGCATTTATGCTTGCATGCAATACTTTGTGTTTTATATAGATGTTTCTCATTATGAATACTTTAAATTAATATTTTTAACTACTGTTTTAAATTATTACTAAATGAGAAATTAATGTAATACATTATTTATTAAAACATTTTACCATATTAATATATTTTAATTACATAATTGCATGATAACACATAGAATTTCTGGTATTTATTGAATTAAAATATTAATTTCATAGTACTATCATTTTTTAATTTTCACGTGGAGAATACTGTATTAATGTTTAACTTTACATACAAGTGTCATATAAAGTACCTATACAATTTCAAATCTATTTATGTGTATTACAAATAAAATGGAATGAATTGTAATTTTGATGTATAAAGCTATTACATTTGTATTTCTTTTTTTTAAATTCTTTTTATATGAATGGGTTCATAAATACATATGTCAAATAATTTAAGTTATTAAAAGCATGGGTTAAAAATATTTGTTTTTCAATTGATGTGAACATTGTGTTCGCCCATTACCTTTATATTGTTATTAATTTGTATTTTTTAATTATCTTAAAGGTGGAAGTCGTGGTTCAACCCCTGAACAAGATAGAGAAGGACGTCTCGGCACCTCTCCTCACATTAATAGGTTCCTTGCAAGAGAACCACCTGATGGCTGTGAGAAAGTCAATCTCAAATTTGTAGAGGATGCCAGGTAACATGACATGCATGTTTCTGTAGAAAAAAATTAAGGTTCCTTGTAGAAAACAATATTATGATAACGTTTGCAGAAATGTACTTTACTAATCCTTGAACAATAATACTTTGTATTAAGCTGAACACATCCCATATAGTGCTTGTATTATTTGGGAAAGATAACTTGAATTCGCCTAAGTTAAACTAAGATTAACATTCGACCTTTGCTTAAATAAGATTACAAGATCCAAATATACAAATTTCTATGCAGATATTTCAATATTATTGAAACAAATATATTTGTATGTATAGGCGACCCATGATAGACTTGAGCAAACTAGACTATTGCCCAAAGCCGTGTGTACCATTCCAGTTAAAACCTAGCTTGGGATCAGCGTTCCTGCCATTACAACAGCCAGCCAGTCCAACGATGGTTGCCAGTGCATCACCCTCTTCGCATCCAACACCAACTACACCTCCTCCAAATCCATAGTCCTGCTCTTTACCTTATGGAATAATGTTCACAAACCCAATTGGTATATATATATTTTTTTTTAATGACCTCATGGGTAGAAAGTGGTTTACTTTGATATGAAAGCATATACCAACAAAGAAAAGTTACCGAAAAAGCAGCCTGTTTCCAGTGCGACCCAACGTTCGGGCATCGTGAATGTGTAATTAAAAAGTTATAATTGCATTGATACAAAATATTGAAAGCATCTGAGCTCCGTTAATGTTTCAAACAATAATAAATACGAGGAACAATAATTTGTGATAACTAAAAATCGACATTTAGGAATGAACATTGTGTTCTACAGGGAGAAAGACTAATAAAATTGTGTATTCTAAATTTAGTGCTAAAATGTGCTAAACGACTTTAGTTTTGTATACAGGGATAAATATTCAAAATGTCAAAGAGTATTAAATTTGATTGTTGGAAAAAGCAAAATTATACGAATACAAAATGGGTACATGTGCCTGGATATGTACATTGGTATCTCTTTATAACGTTTTGATTAGATCTTTATCACTTGAATAATTCAATTGCATAGTGAAACAAAATACTTGTTAGAATTTTGTATCGTTTTGTATTATTATCTATATGCTGAAAATATTCAAATTATTATTATATGAGGAGCTCGAAAATAGTGTATCCCTATGGTACATTATTTTATAGAATTATATTCTCTAGAATTATACACGTACATTCTTTACTCTTTTCTTTCTTTTAAGGTCGCGTATGTAAGATAAAGACGTAAATTAATTGACACGATAGTTTATTTTGTATTATGTGTACAAATGTGCACTTTTGCATAGCCTCTTTTTATAGTAATTTCTCTTAGGCGATAAGTTTCTACTTTGGAAGTAAAACAAGCACTTTGTTCAATTATAGTGTTCAGTGTCATAAAGCAACTTATGGAACTTAAGTTAATTGCAAGAGTATATTTTATTGTTTAATAACTATATTACCATAGGGCTACAAAATTTTTGGTTTAATTTGTGTTATGTTAGTTTACTATCTGAATATGTACAACCAATACAGCATGCAATGACAGGTTGACGGATGTATGATAGAATGAACCTAATGATATAAGGTGGAAATGTAATAATGAGTAAAAATATGGCGAGTGGTAAAATTAAACATTGATTGAAGTAACAAATGACGACATGTGCTTTAGCCAGTGTGGTATCAGATGTGCATACAAATGGCTCCCTAACTTGGCACAGTATGGGTGTGCGTGTAGGGTTTTGTATAAACGCGGATCATAGTAAAAAAAATTTATAATCTGCGTTATACACAAATGACAGTATGCATGTGTTATAATATCAGAATCCTGATTAAGTCATCCGCGAATAACATTGAAGCTCATCATATTATTGAAATATTGTATGAATATTATAAATATTTGAAGTACTTTGAAATTTAGTTATACAAATTTATGCTATTTATCCATATTTTTAATGTGTTAATAATTAGTAGTTATTTGTTTATATAATAAATGTTTTTAATATAAAAATAATCAAAGAAATATCAAATATTGTCAAAAATATCTTTATATAAATAAACTACTGACTCACTATAAAGAAAAAAGAGCAATTCAAGAGTTATTCGTGCGATGGGTTAACTTATTATTTAGTATATGCAGACATAGCCACTCAAGAAGTTCAATTTATTTTTTGCTTTCTAATACAGAACGTTTTGCAAACGATTTTATAGTTATGGTCTGAGGAATAAGGATCTTAATAAAATATAAGATCGAGAGCAGGGAAGAACAGTTTTTTAAATACAATAGTAATATACTTTCTAATATTATATTGTATCTAGCTACAACAGTGAAAAATGTTAACACATAAAGTACCTGGCACACTGGTCTATGCTCTCTTTTATCCAGCTCACTAGAAAGTTCATGCCTTAGAATGCGTGGCAAAGTGTGCTAAATAGACAGGAAGGTTAATGAGAGAGTCAGGATATATACAAAATGCACTGGCTAGTTAACAAGTATACAATACAAAACTAATCTGCTATCTACTAGCTTAAGAAGATTTTCTTTTATTTATTTTCGCTATGGACCTAAATGACATCTATCCCATTGCTGTAAGAATACGTGAATGTGAACGTCAAGTTTGCAGACGCTCTAAAAAGAGAAAAAAATTTGTCGACCGCGTATTTCATCTGTTGGCGTATTTTCACTTAAATGGAGAAGAAGGAAAAAAATGTTTTAACGTAACACATTGTATTAATCATAGTGAATAAAAAGTTTCATACTTTTACTAATAAGCAGAGAAGGAAATAACTTTAGAGAAAAGCTAGCCTTATTATTTTTGACTACACTCATGAGGCTCCACTTTTTAACCTTCATGTACTTGCATAATGTGTTATCATTATTGTTAGCTTTTGTTGTCAATTTCATAAACAGAAGAATGTGTGTAAAGACTGCTAAACTAAAGATTACTTGTTATTTGGATATACCTAAATTTAAAGTTAAATAAAATTAGGCTCAAATTTCTCCGGTTACCTATGAAACAATATAGGTACTCTTTAATTCGTTAACTAAATGATCCTTACGTGACTACTGTTCGGTACATTCTCTTTACATATCTAAATCTGAGCAGGCTTCAGAATGGCAAAATGATTATGTCAATTATGAATTTATTTATCCCTAGGACTGTCCAGACGTATCGTTGTAGTATCTCGCACAACAACAACAAACAAACAAAAAGAAAAAAAAATGCAAACAGATTGTTGAATATAATGATTGTAATTTGTAAGATGCTCAGAATTATGCAAATTTTTTACCGCGTAAAATTTGGAAATTGTAAAGAGATATCTTAAAAATTTTATATGATATTTGGTAAAATTAAACGCAGCTTTTATTAATTGTTTTCTAATAAATACGTGAAATATTATTTATCGTTTTTTATTCTAAGTAAAAGAATACAAAACCTTTGTGTAATTTCCTCGAAAGGATATATGTTTTCTTATGTACAAAAATTCAGTTAGAGTAAAGAGTAAAGAGTATCTTACAATGTAAAGTCACGAACACTACTAGTAGGTTCACAACGGTACATCGAAAATCAATAATTTATACATAAGGATCTATCCACCCTCTAGTCTGTCCTAGGGCTAAATCAAAATTAGTCAGCGAAGAGAGCTAGTGAATGTAAATAATAATTTAAAGCCGTTTACGATGAAACCTTTGTACGGAACGTAGTGACTAAGGCCAACGAATTCTGTACTTTTCGTGCGTCTCGCGAAAGTTCGTTGAACGAAAAAAAACTTGTGGATCAATGCGAACTTTAAAAAAAAAAAAATATGTATAAAAGAAATTACCATAACACGAGCTGTCCATAGTCAACTGAGATTAGACTTCTTTTCCGAACGGCACAATGCAATTGTCAAAATCATAGTAAATGTTATTTTTTTCTTTTATTAATTTGAGATTTTTTTTATTAGTATATCGAAATTATTGAATTTATCAATTTTATTTAAAATTTAAGGATTTTCGAAATTTTGTTTTTCATTTTCTTATTTTTTTTATTTAATATATTTTACATTTTATTATCGTTTGTTTCTTGTTCGTTTAAAATCTCGTTTATCGTCTAATTTAAACGATAGATAGTCACACGCATCTCTGTGAATTGTAAATTAAGAAATCAATACAGTTTAACGAGTACCGTTTATCATTTTTCAAGTAAGTACCGCGTATCAGTATTGTAAACTATCTTAATTTTGTCGTGATCGAGATTTATTTTTTCTTCAATCTTGATGAACTTTCATGAAACGTTATATGTATAAATGAACTTATATTTTCTACGGAATAAAATACTCTTTAAGCGATAAGTTATATTATTGTATTTTTCGTGCATTATCGAATTTCAAAATATAAAAGCAAATTAAAATATAAGATTTAGTACATAAAAAAAATATATTATTGTCTTATTTTTGAGTATTTTATCATTATAATGCATTATTTATATTTGATATTCAAAGTTTTATTGATTCATATGTTTAGGAATATTTTATTTGCTTTCAATCTTAATCTTTGTTTTTCCTTTTTTTATATTTCTGTTGAAGAACTGTATTTGTCCATTAAATTTTAAGTACTGAATTATCATATTCTTATTGAAACGTTAAGAACTTATTTAACGGATATATTCAATTATTTTTCACTCCCTATCGCAAGACAGAATATTATTACATTGTATGATATCGACTTGAAATGAATGTGTCTGATTTGTAATCGATTTTATAAGTAATGTAATCATGTATCATTATGTTACGAAACTTACTATGATTATGATGCTATGATTGCGATGCGCTATAACATAGATTCCATAGATTCGTTTGAAGCGTATGTAATTGCAATTAATACATTGACTGCCACGCAACAATGTCTTACTTTTCGATCCATTTGTATCGAATTAAGTGTAAGCGACTTCAACATTGAAGGCGGCAAGTATCGATTTGTCGAGATTTGTCATTTATTTTGTTGCTCGCTCGAGCTACAATATAAAAAGCTCCTGTTGCAACGTCATCGAATGTACTATAATATGTAACAATAATATATGAGCGCATCGTTGGTTCCTTTGTAACGAAAATACATTATGGTTCCACACTCGGCGGTCAAGGTATTAAGGATAATTATATTAATGACTCGATAAACTTTGCTATTACAAGAAACTTTTATATCTCAATATGGAAAGGTAAAACGCAGTCTGTATCGCTCAGTACAAATACTAATTCATATTACGATCGAAATTTCATTGTTATAACGTGTATTTATTGTTTGACAAGCGTCACATTCGAGGGACAAAAATTTCCGCGCGAATACGTTCTTCGATGATTGGTTCTTTGTGAAATTCTCTTATCTTACCTCTCCATAGTGAGACTCCTCCTATGCAACTTGTTAAACCTGTGAATCTTATATGCGATTAGTTGTATTATTTACCAGCATAATACTGTATGTACTTGTTCCAATAACAATATGCACTTTTATTTTTATCATAAAGTATAAATGGAAAAGTGTACCTTTTTATATTACTGTTAAGGCGCCTTACATGAATAAAATTTTTAGAAAACGAGATTGAATACGGTATTGTACAATTTAATCATAAGAACAACGTATGATGCTTTGTTTTTTATACTCTTTGCATTGTTTATAGTTCTTCCATCTACTTTTGTTCATACATCCGTTAATTAATCACCTTTTATATAAATTTTAATTAATCACATTCTCTTTTATTTTATAATATAAATTAAACA